ACAGGACTTCAGCACTGGAGATGCTCTTTGTTTTAAGCATTCAACCATTTCTGTAAGACTCCCTAATCTTGCATTTTGAGATTTAACACAACAATAGGAAAAACTTTCCACCAAAAGAAGGAATGAAAATTAAGCATTGCATCAATCTGTTATGCCAAGCATATCAGAAGAGCACAACAATGCATTATCTGAGCAGCCAGTGCTGTCTGTACTAAAAACAAAATCTGTTCAAGAAATCTGTAACTCATTAGCATAGAGGTTCAAAGTTGCTTGATGAGCATATTTTCCTTCGTAACAGTTTGTGGAACTGTCTGCATTTCTGCATTTCATCAGATTATTCTACGCTGAAGCTCTTGAAACAGTCTGAGCACCGCACTTCTTCTTTATGCTGCCATAACGAGCTGCACTTTCAAGCATCCTGTTCTGGAGCCAGTACATCTCCCAGTTATAGCTATGATCAAAAACTTAACATCATCACAAAACTATTTTGTTAGAATTTTATTAAAAGACATGGGAGTATGAAGAAGTGCTACTTCTACCAAATCAGTTCCCAATATTCTTGACAGATACAGAGCTAGGGCTCCAAGACAGAAATAAAATAAAATTATGAAGACAACTGTTTCCTTTTGGATAGTAAGTACATAGGAAACTCATTTGGTTTACATTAATTTGCTACATATTGCTCACACGTGTACAGTTCCATTAATTCCAGCTGGTTACATGGGTCTCTGAAGAATTCTTTTGTCAGAACAAAAATTCAGAATGCACCCACTCTCTAAAATCCTTTGACAAATAATCACAGAACAGTGTGGGTAGAAGGGGACCCTAAAGACCCCAGTTCCAACCTCCTACCATGAGCACGGATGCCTCCCACCAGTCCAGCTTGGCCAAAGCCCCAACCAAGACTGTGGGAAGGCAGAGAGGTGCATCTTTAAAACAAGTGGGTTTGGACTTCTCAGAACTGGTCAGTGATAGAAAAGAGGACTGTTATATTAAGTGCATTCCTTTTACAGTGAACCCACCAGGAACATGCATTTTCCTGAGAAGAGCTGCTAAGTAAAAAGACAAAACCAAACTTAAAAGAGAGGAACCACCTCTCCAGTCAGTTCTGTAGAGAATTAGCACTAGAACTCACACGCCCTGCAAAATTCATCATACTAAAAATGCCTCAGCTAAATAGGAATAAAATACAAATTAAAAGAAATAATTAAAAAAAAAACTCACCAACCAAATAACAAATGTGAAACGTGAGTGTAAAATATGTAACACCTAGCAAAGAAAATGATCTGATAATATCATTTGTTAGACAAAACTGGCAACTTTGAATTATATGCTACCTTAATATAAGTTTCTACCAGCTGCTCATTCTGAAGAAATACAATCTCCTACACATTGAAACTCTGAAAGATGACAAAGACAGAAGGAAAAAAAAAAAAAAACAATTACTTGACATAACAGTTCAATTGAATTTGTGATGAAACTGTGGTAAATGCAATAAGAAGTCGATATACAGAAGAACACAATGACAAGAAACTTCAGTTTTGTGACAGTGGCATGTTTAGCTACTGAATCAGCAAGAAAAACCGGAACCAGGCAAAGAAGTTCAGTTCTTATTCAACACTTTTTAGCAAGGTCTATTTCTAGCAGCAGGATAACCTGTTAGAGACACAGGCACTGAATCATATTTCAGTTTTCCATCAGATGAACAAACTCGTACGTGTGAGGAAGCTTGCCTGAGTGGTTGGTTTCTTTTTAATTTTACTTCTAAGTGTAAAAAATCCGCCTGAAATGTTTGTCCAATAATATTGCCCTTCCAAAGAGGAAAAAAAGTATTCCAACATTGTGGCTACGTACACAAAAACACATGAAGCACAGCCATATGTACCTCGAATCTGGGGGCATGTTCTACCACACATTTGTTATGCAATTTTCACATAGTCATAACGACGTTAAATCAAAGCCAACTGATGTCAGTGCTAAAACTCTCAGAAGCCCCACAGCGAAGCATCTTTACATTTGGGAAGTGTTAATGTGTGACATAAATATTTTGCCTTCCAAAGCCACCATGTATACCAGAATGTCAAAAGCAATTATTGTAATGTGCACACAGAAACACACGCACACAGGCACACATGTAAAACATACTCTCACCGTGCAGGGAGTTCTGGGACACCTAGGCAAAGGAGATCCTCCATCCCCTTCACAACTCTATCGCTCCTTTAAGTGAGAAAACATCCTACATACAACAGCAAAAGAAGAACTTATTCTGCCCAGCAGCTTAAAAATCATAATATGTTTTTAACAAGGAATTTTCTGTTACATATTCAGATGAAAACATACATATATGTATATTGACTCATTTTCAGCATGAAAAATAGATAAGCTCCATGAATGGACTCCTCCTGTGAGGCACCCAGCTATCTCCCCTAAAAGTAGTTATGCACAGGAAGGAGGAAAACAAGCAAGACTGCAGGAGTAGGGACTTAGCTGACTAAGCATCAGCTCAACTAGTTACTGCTCTTCCCCAGAGGAGCTGAGGGTGAGTGACCAGCACAACTAGCAGAAAGCAAGCACTTGAAGAAATCCTTCAGAGATCAATATCAAAGATGCAGTACCCTCTTGCTACAGCTACATACCATAGGACAAATGCAACAGCTGTAAGTGTCCAAACTGCTGTGCTAAGAACCATATCACCAAAAGCAAGTGACAGAAAATAAAACCCATTTCTATTCAAGCACTGATATGCAACTGAGCTCAGTGTAGCCTTCGTACAGACGCAGAAGAAAAAAGATATCACAGCTTGAGGTAAATATTAATAAAGTACAAATAAAAATAAGGTACAAATTTACAAGGAAAAGAAAATGAGGAGGGGAAAAAAGCTCCTCCCTTGCTTTACCTCTATCATCCACTACATGTGATACAACCTGAAGGTCAGTGGGCATAGAAAACCTCACACAGAATATGACTTGCTCTTTGCTGGGCTGCACTGCTAGCACAGGGACATGGCCTCTTCTATCACGCTGTGCATGTGATGCGGTGACTCGGTCTGGCCCAGGCCTGCTGGCTGTGCCATCTGGCACAGGGGCCAGGAGGCACGAGCAGGGCCATGCCCTACAGCGGGCAGTTCTGATCATGCCAGTCCTTGTGCAGACCTTGTGCAGCCACAGACAGGAGGACAGAGATGCAGAGAAAGCCACGTATACGAACACCCGCGTTATTTTCAAAGGGCAGGTTTGTCACTAGCTGTAAGCAATTAGAGAACTCTGAAGAAACCCAGCTAATGAATTACACAGAAGGTGTGCTACTTTCCCTATTAACAAAACAGCTAAATAATCTAAAATAGATCTGCTTTGTGTTTCCAGAGCTAAGCAATGCCGCTGCAATTACAAACCACAATACACAAATATTGAAGGAGTGATGGATAAGCTTGAATCCTTGCAGAGACTGCATTTAGCTATATAAAAAACCCCTTCCCATCAGTACTGTACATTAATGGTCACATATCTTCAGCTGCTTTTTTCTTTCCTGTGAGTAGCATCATAAGCCTCCCCTGACTCCCAGTGCTACACTGTGAGTTACAGGCAAGCAAGAGTGAAGGACTGCACTGTGCTGGCATTAGATTTTGTCATTCTAATGTAGGAAATCAACCATTGTGTTACAGACAAAGAAAAAGACAATTTTGTTTCAGAGCATTGATTATTTTATTACACTGAAATACAATTGCCCTTTTCACCCAGAGAATAATCGACAAATGCATTATTTCCCACTTCACTGCCACAAGGCTGGAATGAGTTAAAACATGCCTGTCATGAATCCTCTTAAGCCACTATGACCTGCTTGTTCTACTGCTACAACTCAAACGATTACCTTGTCCATTACCTAAATGGTAGATTATATGCAAAATGCTGCTCATTTGCTCAGTAGCATATATCTTAAGCACAGCCATCAAGCAAAGCAGTGAGGCCTTTGTATCTGTTTATTGTGCCTGGCTTATGGGTGAGTCCACAGCAGTTCTCATTTGAGGACGCATCTGGAACCTAACCCAAGAGACTCATCTTTCCCTAAGAGATGCACTTCAGCTATTATATTACTGGAGAATATTATTTAGAGATAGATTTGAGACACATTATTCTTTAAAAAAAAAAAAAAATTTCTTAGTCATCTGAAAGAAAGCTTTCTGTAGGCAGCTGCAGACAGATACCAGCTTGCATTTTGCGTGCATCACTATTTGCATCTCTTCTGTTTGTGCATTTTACGTGCAAGAAGCTGATAACATGTCAGTTTTCAGAAATATACATAAACACATCTGAGAACTCCCAACATCACCAGCATTCTGTGCTATATCTTGACAATGGGATTGAGCAAAAAGTCTCCTCAGTGCAATTGTACCTGATCTACAAAAGCTGAATAAACTTTACTGCTTTTGGACTGACAAGTCACAGCAGCGAAGGCTAAAATGAATTATACCCTACCAGACTTCAAAGCACAGGTGTTTCCTCCTCCATACCAGGCAGGTCTTGCTAATGCATTCCCAGGACACACACAGGTTTTTCCACTGGCCTGAAACAGGCTGCTGAAAACAGGACTCAGCACTGAATGGCACAAGCAGAAAAGCACTTGCGGTGCATTCTCACATGACCTGCCACAGTTTGTGGCAATCAGTGTGTGTACTAGAGCATGAGGGCTGAGTGAGATGTTTTATGTCAGCGTTGCTGCTGCTCAGCTCTGATACACTTCAGAGATGGGTAAGCAATGCCTCTGACCTGAGGCATCCTGAGAACTCTTATTAGGAATGTCACACGTTACAAAGCTACACCCAAGAAGAAAAGTAAGAAAAGGTGTTTTTTCCACAGTCTAAAGCTTATATTCCCAGTTTCAGACTAAGCTTTGAGTATTTCCTCATACACCACCTACTCTGCTATGAAATAAGGATAATAGCAATCCCTGTACACCCAGGAACACGGCAGAGCCCCCTTCCCCTGCAGCAAACCGCACATTACCTGTGGAGTCGAAGATGATGGGCTGGCAGTTCCTGTTGGAATTCCAGTTACATTGCAGCACCTGCCCCCCTTCTACCACGTTGTGCTGGGAGGTGTTTGCTTTTGGAGCTCCCACCAGAAGAAATATCCTGCAGTAAATTGAAGAAATAAAAGTCTCAAAACTTCAGGCACAGACACTGCTACTTCATGACATGCTAACAGTTCATAGATTTGAATGGATAAAGCTTTTGCATTAAGTTTAAAGCCAAAACTACTTCAGGTGTCAGAGGAATTGATACCGGGCTTGGCTCCCTCCTTTCCGCAAGCGAAAGCAGGCAAACTAATTTTGACTTAAGAGACGAAAGAAGATAAAGAATGACATAATCTGACTTGCTTGAAGGGATATTTCAATGACATAAACACCTCTTATATTCTTTTATCCCCCTTTCAGAAAAATCTGCATTGACACCACAGAAGAAGTAGCCGCGTATTTCTGTAATTTAACAAAGAAATTGCCTGGCATCATTTCTAGGTAATGCTGTATGTAAGAGTAATTCACGGAAGTTGGTCAGCATTCAGTGATGTACACACAGAACAGCAGCGCTCAGGAGGCAGTGAGCAGTGAGTCAGCCCAGCATCAGCCAACCCTCTGCTAAACGCAATCACCAAGCACCCAAGTCACTGACAGCCACAGACCTGCGCATTTATGAATCCCCACTGAAATTCATTACAAAATAATCATTTTCTTATTAAGATGGGTCACTGTACAAATGCCTGCTTATGTAAGTGAGGTCCACTCTGAGCAGGAACTGCTATGGCACTGGGATCGTGCAAGTGTTAAAATGCAGAAGCTGCAGAGTAAGAAACAGATGGAATGCAAAGCCAGACCAAACAAGGCTATTAAGTTCTCCCAGGAACTCTCACAGCTCTCAGACACGCGACTCATCAGCACTTTTCTTAGGAAGTCCATTTGAAGCAGAGGCAGTGACATACAGAAGAAGCAAAGACGTGGAACTAAATGCTTCCTTTTATCAGAATCTGCTTCTGTTGCACTGCTTTCATTTAGACTGTCAAAGAGAGAAGTCTTCCACTCGCAGGCAATGTTATCTCGTATCAGGTAGGGCAGCTGGTTTTGAAATAGGCATAGCCAAATAAGCTGGTTGGAGAGTAAGTCTCCTAGTAGATAGATCCAAACTTTGGCAGACTTGTTCTGGTTGTGATTGTTATCCTCTTTTTAGTTCTGAGCTATGTTTTTTCTTCTAAATACATGAAATCCAGGTATAAACACATAGAACCTTACCAAAGCTCAACTCATATGAATACCAACAAATGACATTATTTTTCAACTCCACTTAATTTGCAGAACCTTCAAAATTCCCTGGTAAGGACTTGGTAGAAAAGCCAGACTTCCCACAATCCATTGGTTCCCCTAATGGCATTCACAGACTAGTTTTCAAGAGAAAGTATTTGAGATGCTTTAATGGACTTAAATGTTCTGTCTGGGCATAACAGAAAGGTCTAAAAATAAACGTTCCTAATGCCAAGTGAAGAAATACATTAATTATTATAAATACAATCTATTAAACAAGTGGTAACTTGCCTCCCTCTTCACTCTTAGTTCATTAGTTTTGAGAAGCCCTCCAAACTAAACATTTGCTTTAAAAAAAATAAGTCACACTCATTTTAACCTTTCTTTCATAACACAATCACCATGATGGGATATATTAAGGTGGTCACCAATTAAAGACTTGCAGTGGAACTCCATAAAGATTCAGTCACCTCTTTTCCCAAAGCAAAAAAAAAAAAAAAAATTTCTATAATCAGAAACCAAGCCAGTAGACTTGAGCAATTTGTAACACTATTGGCAAATTATAAGACCAGTGACCATCCACAAAGAAGACTGTACTCCACATACTTTGGTAAAGACAGCAACTGATGCAGATTTCTATATCCATAAGCATACACCAGCTGTGCTGTGGCACTACCCATCCCCTACACAGGGCACCAGCCACCCCAACATAATGCTGCAAACAACACTGGGAACGCATTCGCAGCCTCTGCAGTCAGGTTTCCATAGCTGTGCTTAGAGGAATCCTCTCTTTCCAGTGCTTTGCCACGTGCTGATAAAGGCCATCAGGTTTTCAAATACACTCATACATGGGAACGACAGACTACAAAAATTAGTGCTTCTGTGTATGCAAGGCCTCTTTTACTTTGTAAGTCGCACCTTCAGCCACTTGGAACTGCACTTACATCCTGAGTCAGAAAACAAAAAGCACCCGGATAAAAGACTGCCACCAACTCACGGACTACGTTTTTCATACAAGACTCCTCAACGTGCTTCACACTGCTGCCTGCAGCTAAAAAACAACAGCTTGAGCTTTTGAGAGCTATTAACTCTGCCGTACCACTAGGTGATCCAAACAGCTTAATTGAACTTGAATTACTCGAACTCAGCTGCTTTTTACCTCCGTCCTGTACCGAAGAGGTTCTAAGCACAGGTTCAGAGCAGCGTGTAACGGGACTCACTCCTGCCAGGTGTGCGGGACTCAGCCCCCACCAAGCGCCCACCACAGCCACCCAGGCTCAGCACGGCCGAGCATCCCCTCCCGCAGCTCAGAGATCCGCGGCACCGCTGCCTGCGGCCGGAGGCATCGCGGACCCCGCGCACGGAGCGTCCCGGCCTGCTTCCCAGGGCACCCATCTGACTGCGCCGGGCCGGCTGCTGTAAAAGCTGCGGAGCGACTCGGTTTCACTAAGAAGTTTGATCTAAAAGGCAGCAGGGGAAGCCGACCAGATACAAAGTAACTTCTACCCATAGCTAAAGTCGCGGGGAAAGGCTTCTCTCAAAGACACGGAGAAAGTCTCTCAGGCTAAGACGTTCGCGTTTCAAGTTGCAAACAAAGCCCCAGACTACGCTCACCCACCCGGGACTCAACAGTTACCATCAAAGAAACGCGAAAAGGCAAAAGGGCGATTCCAACGGGAGAAGAAAGGAACGAGCCCGCCCCGCGCCGCTGCCGGCCGCTCGGCAGCCGCAGATGCCGCCTTAAAATAAAGGGAGGAACGCAAATAGAACATATTTGCTTTTAATAACGCGCTCCGGGGGATTAAGACAGAGGAGACGTCGCGACACAGGCGAGCGCAGACGGGACGGCTGCTGGGCAGCGGAGCCGCGCGAAGATGCGCTCCAGACCCGCTCCGAGACCGTGGGGCCGAGGGACCGCTCACTTACGAGGAGGGATCGGGAGCGAAGAAGTCCACGGCGAAGCCGAAATAGCTGCCCTCGGCGCCCGAGTACACGGCCGGCCGCTCGGCGTCCAAGTTGAAGGCACGGGCGGCGGTCAGCGCGCAGCCCAGCAGCAGCAGCGTTCGCAGCCCGGCCATGGCCCGCGGCGCTCCCGGCCCGGCCCCGCGCGGAGGAAAAGGGCGGCGCCGGCGCGGGAGCGGGAGCAGGAGCCGGAGCGGGCCGCTTCCTCTGCTCCGCGCCCAGTTCCCTTTTCTCGGCGGGACGGCAGGAAGGAGGAGCGGCATCATGTGGTGCCGGGGGCGGGCCCCGCTCCTGCCGCCGCCCGGCCCCTCCGCGGCCCGTTCCGGGCGGCTCGACGCGGCCTGCTCCGGCGGCCGTGCCGTGGGAAGGCGGCCCCGCACGCGGGTGGGGTCCGCGGAGCGAGGGACCGCCGGAGAAGAAAGCGCGGGGAGCCGCGCGCCAGCGACCCGAGAGTGGCCCGGGCGGCGGAGCGGCGGTGCTCGGGCCTGCGGACGGCGGGGCGGAGCCGGGCTGCGGAACGGCGGACCGCGGGGCTGCCGCTGCCCGTCCTGCTCCGGGAGGAACTGCTCCCGCGGGCGGCAGCCCGAGCCCTCCGAAGGACTGGGACCGCTCCCCGACGGCTCGGGGACCGCTAATGAGATATCGGACTCAGTTCGAGCGCGGAGTGTTCTGCTTTGCTTTATAGTTCCGCGGTAGGAACTGCGCGGCGTACGGGGCCGGCCGTTCGGAGTGAGCCCAGCTGGCAGCAATCCACCGAAAGACGGAGAAAATAATAAAGCGGTCAGAGCACGTGTAGGCAGCCTCTTACGGCCAGAATTCGTGCGACGGAGCTGCCCGTTAACCCGCTGGACAGAAGAAACACCATTTCGTAGCCAGCAAGCATTCCTGAGTTTTGATGTAATCGGCTTCGTTCAGAAGCATGATATTGAAACGTTGACCCAGGACCACTTAGCATGTTATTTTTTGCTTATCTTTCAAGGACTTATTGCTCTCAAAGGACCTTCCCCTCTTCTCTTCCCCCTCACCCCCACAAAAAAAAAGAGAAAAAAAAGGAAGTGTGCTTTGTCACCAATTGCACAATGAATCACATTTCAGAATTAGCATCAGCTTCCTGTTTATCTTGGAGGGCAAACTTACAGCACTGCACTGTTCTTGGTGATGCCTACTTAGTCTGTGTTCACTGATAGCCCATTGTTGTGGCACACACATGAAAGAAAAAAAAGGAAGGATTTCAGGGAGAAGAACTGAACATTGGGGTGATAATTTTAGTTTCTCACCTAATAGAGAAAGTTGCTTCAGGTAAAAACTTCAATTCCATTGTATATTGTTATGGTCAGATTTTATGAAAATACGCAAGCTAAATTAAGTAATCAGTTATGAAGTCTCACAGCCTGCCTGTCTGCAGTCTGACACACTGCAGCACAAGGACAGAAAGGGGCCTGTGCAGGTAAACGCATGGCACCGCCAGAAAGAAGGACCTGGTCATTCTGTGTTACTGTCAGTTGTTCTTACTGTCAAGTGATAATAATTTCTTGAGGAAATCAACTGAAAATCTATAATTTTGCCAAAAACAGGAGAATTCCTATGCCCAGGCTTGACGCTTGTTGCTGATTTTCCTTATCTTGTCACCTCTCCATAGGTAAAATCATGATGAAGAATAACTTTTATGATGCAGTGACTTGTCTCTCACAGCTGTTACACCGTGGACCTGATCAAAGCAAAACTTCAGATAGGTAAATAAGTTTCTAAATCTTAGCAAATACTAGAAGCGTAAAATAACAAAATCCTCGGTATGTCTGTAGATTTGGCAAAAGGAGTATTTATTTTCTCTGTTTGATCATATACCTTCTCATTACACAAACAGCAAGGGATATGATAAGATTAAGATGTATGATATGATTAAGATATGAGGGCTGCTTACTGAACGGTAAATTTTGTCTTCCCAAGAAGTGGCTGTGCAGCACTGCTGCGTGCTGTCAGTGGATGGATAAGTGAAAAGCCAGGGGAGTAATTTAGCCGTGGCATACATCAGAGGTTGCTCATCCCCAAGGATACCTTCATCAGACGGTTTCCTCTCCTCAGTAGGACAATTTCTTCACAAGTCTATCTGCCCGCTATCACTGGGGCAGGGAATGCCGCCCGCTCTTCCCCTGACTCAGCTCCCACACCACAATGAGTCACACACCAGGACGGGGCACTGCCTGGGCTGCTGCATTGCATAGAACCTGTCCATCGCTCCGGGCAGCCCGCAGCTCTCCTGCCTCCACCTCAGCACGGGGAGCAGAAACGCAGGCCTGGGGTGCACTTCCAGTCAAAGTATATCTCACTAGAAATTGAAACAAGCATTTTCTATTGCTAAAAAAAGTGATTGAGGCTATAGCTGGCACTGAGTTATTACGTCTGACAGAATCACAGACAAAGGAATGATGGCCCCAAACAGACTTTGTATCAGTCTAAAGCAGGAAACACCCTTCTAGTAAAAGTGTAATTTTTCCTTGCTAACTTGTTTAGCTCTCAGTATGATTAACAAGTAGATTAACAGCTAGTAGAACTGTGTTACGCAATGCAAACAAACAAATTATATGCTTCTATATTTGCTCTACCGACTACTTTTCAATCTGCAGTTTGCTAAGGCATACAGCAGTGGAAAGTAGCCACTAGGAAGTGGGCAGAACAGTGACAGCAAGCTGTGACCTTGCTAGCTTTTCCTCATACAACTGATCATTAACACAGTTGAGTAAGGCTTTGCAGGATACCAGGCATATTTGGAGAACTCATTGCTCCTTTTTAATTTTTCCTTAGCTTTCAGCCTGTAGAATGAACAGAGAATTTCAGAATGTTTTTTTTTTTTTTTTTATTGCAATCCTGTGTTCCTCTCTCGTAATGTTACAGTCATGACAGAAACAGCCAAAATCCCGTAATTCAGGATAAGTTAAAAATATGCATTCCACAGTGGTTCTATTTAAAAGGCCCTGAAAAACATCCCATGCTAAGGGAAAAGCTTCCGCTTCTTAGCAGATCCAGCATTTTTCAGATCCAGCTCTACTAACATCTGGAGCACAGAATGGATTGCCACTGACTTGTTTGTTGATACTGTCGTTGGCTGGCAAAAGGCGTCCTTCAACCATAAGAGAGCTCTTCTCTTTTGCCATGCAGGCATTCAGTTTCACAGAGCAGTTTAACTGCTCTGAGCAGACCTTTAAGAAGTAACTCAGTCTCTAATACAGCAGTAGAAAGCAAGCTTGACTAAAAATGGTCTTATCTTATTACTTCAGTGTTATTTTTGTCTAACACTCATCAACTAATGCTTATTTTCTTGAAATTCCCTGAACACTGCAAACCACAAAAGCACCACTGGGTGAGGCAAAACCACCACAGCTGTGTTGTGAGCTCGGGTTGTTGTGGTTCCACCAGGGTTCACCAGTCCAGAAAAACCCCACTCATTGGTTACTAGAACCTCTCAGGCAAAGTTTCCTCTAGCAATAGGAGAGTGTCAATAAAAGCAGTTTCTAACTGGTGAACCACGCTCAGGGCAAAGTTTGAGATCTTCCAGTTGGAAAGGAAATGAGTCGGATCCAGGCTGTTTTCTGGTTTGCTCGGTTGTGATAGCCGCATTACCTCAGTGTTAGTCAGCGTCTCCTCCATCCCCACTGAGCGTTGCAGAATGCTGGTTACTCAACAGGAGTTTTTGTATGTTGGGATTTCAGATCACCCAGTTCAGAAGCAGCTCCACACAATCTACAAAGGGATTCACATCTCTTCTATCTGACAAAATCAGTGTTACAAATCCCATCTTCCTCAGATTTTAGTTTACAGATCTTTAGATCCAACAAATCAACTTAACCTGATGTTGCTCAGTAAAAACCCCAAAGACTTGAATATCTTTTTAAACAGCATTTATACTCTGGAGAAAAGGATCAAAAGGAAGAAATACAATAATATATGTAAACATGACCCCATTTCTTTTGGAGATAGGGAAAGCCTGGGAAGCCACCACACCAAACTCCAGCCAACAGGCGGGGCTGTGAAGCTGGGAAAACACATTTTGAAAATGTGTTGTGATGTGTACATAGAAGACTTCAACCCACACTCAGCTGTTACTGGAAAGCAACTCTACCTGGCAGAAACACATCTGAAATAGAGTTCTGCCTGGAGCAAGGAGAAATGGAATGCTTCTTACAGCCCTGATCTACAGGCACAAAGGATGGGATCTTGTTTGTTTCAGTTTTCTTTCTTCTTTTTTTTTTTTTTTCCCCCTCCTTTATATTTTTATGGTTATCTTTTAAAACTATTTTGGCTTTTGCCTAGCCTGCGATGTCCAGGCGTTGGTTCCAATAGGCTCTGAGCTGGGTGCTACTGGCTGAAGAATTCCTGGAATGTAACTTCTGTTCCCCATTTCAACCAAAAGAAATTTGCCAGTTAATGTTGACAAGTAACCAGTGACAGAATATGCAGACAATTCTTTGCCTTAATAAAGAGCGTATTTTAAAACTTCTCCCTTTTTTTTTTTTTTACCATCTATGGATTCTTGTTCCACTTCCTCCTGCCTCCCATACATACCAAGAATGTGCACCCATCTATTTATAGCACATATTCTGTCAAACTGTAGCTTTATGTTTCCTGTGTGGAGGACACTTTGTGGGTCACATAACAGAATCGCTCTTCACAGAACACAGACTTTCTATAATGACAGGAAAAAGACTGGAGACCGATATAGGGCTGATATGACTAAACAACATGCAGTTGTAGTAGTGGGTGTAGACACCCCCTAGCTCTTTATTCAAGGAAAAAGTTCACAAAGGTGAGGTGTCTGCAGTTAAATAAACCCCTCTTCACCCCTTATAGCCCGTCCCTCCTCAATTTCGATTCATCTGACATACTACCAATAATGCCTTTATTATGTCATTTCTGACCAACTTTTCTCTTGATTCCATAAACAAAACCTCAGAGCCCCACCACGAGAGCATGCTACTGGGCAGCACGGAGCTCCACAGCACACCCACTGAGCAGCCAAAGGCAGAAGGCAGCCAGCTGGAACACACGGCAGACACTCAGCCCATCAGCACAGAGCAGAGGTCAGGCAGAAAACTCTATGCAACAGCGTGTTCATGCTTGGAAGGGAGAGAAGACAACAGAAGAAAGGGGTGAAGAGAGAAGATCAAAGGTTTCTTGCTGAGAAATACGGCTATTACCCAATTAATGTCTGAGATGTTAAGGAGGCATGCAGTTGCAGCCATGAAATGATTAAGTAGAGGTCAGTTCATCTTGTTTTGTTGTTGTTTTTTTTTGTTTGTTTGTTTTTTCAAGTCTACTCTTCCCTACCCAGTTAAACTACTTCAAATTTAAATGTTTCCAAAGTTAGCCGAAATCTTCGTTTAAGAGCTTACAGGGAATTTGGATTATTGTGTAGGCACACTACAGCAGTATTTTACATTCAATCTTGTGTGCAGTGTTCAGAGTGCAGAAATGACAGCCTCAGTGTCGGGATGTAAAGCAAGGAATAAAACAGGAATGGAAGTGAAGTGCAAAGAGGACCAAACACTCTCAGGTCAGAGAACTATAAGGTTTTAGAGAACTTTCCACAACTGCAAAACGTGCTCTACAAGCATATCATACACTGAAAATACAGTTTCATTTTAACACAAGGCCAAGGATGTACAACTGGTAGAATATTTTTCTCTAATGCCTTATTGTACAAAGAATACCATTTTGTCTTGTGAACTTTTTACAGTAGTTTGCCCTGTGTCTTTCCGTGTGTCCTCATAGAAATCTAGGAATGTTTTAGAAGTTGTATACTTCATCTTCCACTATATCTTGCTTTATTTTAAGAGTTCACCTTGACACTTTTCAAGTTGAATTTGGTTCAGTTTGGAAATATTTCTTTAGTTTCATGCCAGCCTTTCACAAACCTGTGTCCAAATATATTGCACTGCTTGAATGTTCTCAGCCACAGATGCCTGAAGTCTCTTTAACACAAATGAAATGCTGGTACATATGATCAAAAGAACTGATTATTTCAATAATGCGTTATGAAGGAGCCTGTTGTGTTCACATATTAAGACTATAGCATCATAAATGAATAAAACATCTTGGCCCTGTTGCTAACACCAGCAACAGCCACTCTCTGTGAAAAGACAGAACTTCTATTGAAAGGCAGAAACTGGAAGTGACAGAAAATAAGCCAAGGTCACTTCTAAGCCTCTAATACTACCAGGGGTGGGGGGAAGAGAAAGGTGATTTGCAGATATCACTGTAAAAAGCACTTAATGGGATCACAACTACATCAAGCACATCCGGCACATTACTAGGAACAAAGACCATTTGCTCCACTAAAGATTCTGCTGATTAAGGCCCATTCATAGAAAACTCTCATGCACTACTGGGGAGGTGAAGTTGCTAATTTTGTACACAAGTTTTTCTAGCACAGAAACGCAGTAAGAAATGGTATCCTTCAAACTAAAATACTTACTTATTTTCAGTATCACTTCCTCTTCTTGGCACCAAGTCAAAGCTGAGGAAGACATAAGATGTTGCTTCTGCTAAGTGTTTTCCCTGGAGATCAAATACTTTAAGTTAGGAGACATGTTCCAAACAAAGCGTGTCAGCTGCTTGCTAAAAGATGCTGGAAATGTAAAGGGATTCAGAGGGGAGAAAAGGAAGAAACATGATTGAAAAAAAAAAAAAAAAGCCATTGAGAGACTCATATGCACACACATACACGAGATAAACTTGCATTTGAAACAATGAGATTGCTCATCTTATAGCTGTAATAAAAAGTGAGGGAAAGGAAGGTCTAACCTTGTAGGAATGTCTGACTGAAGTTCCATTAAGCTATCCTAAAGAAGCACATGAATATTAGCAGTTTATGAACTGTGCCATTATTTACTTGCAAGATAATTAAGTCTGCAAAAAACTAACACTTGCAAAACTTATTCTATTTGGCTAATTATTTTTTTTTTAAAGGGGCATTCACTTGGCAACATAAATAGCAATCAGCCATCAGAATGTCCTACACAAGTTTTTTCAACACTTATTTCACACATCTGACTAAAGAATTGTGAAAGTACTCAGAAATTAGTGTATTTTATATGTGCAAGTTCTTTTTATGCAATCTGTTTGTGAAATGAACACAATGGGATATAGGAGAATAATGCATTGCCAAGAACATCACTGCTCCATCAAATGTTAATCGAATTCCCCCTTGATAAAATACAGCTGAGAAATGTCATCCAGTAAGAAATGATCTACTAATTGCTTGCAGTGGAAATGCTGTGATGGAATAGTTAAGGTCAACCTTCACATTTAATTTTCCTTCTTTTTTTTTCCCAGGCATTTACCAGCCATGTGTATTTAAAGTAGGAAGCTTTCTGAGTAACATCGAGGAGGAGGTAAGTTACTTTTTCAATTATACAGCCCTCAGAAGTCCTATGAGAATTTTCAGTTAAAAGTGTCATCTTGTGACTGAAATGATTTTTGTCTTTCAAGCTTTAAAGTCAACAAGCATTCCACTTCCTTAACAGCAAACTGCTGTTTGAAACTACTATGAAAAAGTACGGGCTCTATGCAGATGTTCCCTGCACAGAAACAGAATGAAGGCAGAGAGCTACAAGCAGCATTTTTTCCCCAGGAGATATGAAAGCCCCATAGCTACACCACAGTTCTCACAAGGTTTTTTTTCCACTTAAGTGTGGGGGCAGAGATGAGGCAAACAGCAGAGCAGGCTGTGTGCACTGCACAGAATGAGTGAAGCTCCTCAGAAATGTTTCCTCCCTGGCCTATGCGTCCACATAGCCTAACTTGAATCCTCTGGATAGAGCCTTCCCGCAATAGTAAGATGACTGGTTTTTTGACCCCTAAAAACACACAGGTGAAGACACTGCTATCTCAGGATTTCTCATTTTTCTTTAAGCAGATCTATGGCATCGGCTATTCACTTTACATTGGAGGAATTAAAAGACAATTGCATCTGTAGAAACAGCTCGTGGGTAGGTAACATTCAGGTGGACTTCATTTTAATCAGCTGTTCTTTTCCACAATTTACCTTCAGTAAGGTCTTAGCACCCATTTCTAATTGAGCATTTAATGACTGAAACTCTATTAGCTGCTACTTTAGCCTTTAACTCATGAAAGCATTTTTCAACTAGTTACATTTAAGCTTATCTTCAAGCAAAAGGAATAAGCAGCAGCATAATGCTAACAATCCTCAGAAGCATGCCTGAGTGCTACATGAACGCTTCTTGAGAAGCGCCCATCCTGCTTCTGTGGTTAGAGATCTCTACAGAGCCAAGAGGCCAAAGCAAGAGCAAGCAGAGTCTGTAGAAATGCTAGAATCAATTAAGCCAAATCAGAGGGGCAGCAAACTATTGCTTCATGACCACAGAGAGTTAAGCCAAAACTTAATGCCCAAGAAAACTGTTATTTTTTCTATTAAGTTATGGTTATTCAATTTATGTAAATGCTATGCAACGTGACTATATCCTACTATTTAGTTTCAACATACACAGCAGGGTATGCACTGCACTGAGCCCTTTATACTGAACTCAAAAAGGGCACATCCTGCTCATTTATTTTTACATTCCTTCAGCTGAAATGAGCTAACCTGCAAAGTACAAATAATTTAAGAACGTGGTTGCAATTGTGAAGATGTAACATGTTTACATCACTGAAACAGACAAGATGACAGACATCAGTATTACACGCTGCATATTAGTCTCCAGAACAAAATATAGCCATTTCAATCCTTAATAATTATTTTATTCCCATTTAAAATATACAACTTTGAAAAATTAGGCATCATACATTCAAATTTGAATTGCATTCTTAAGTGTCCTGAAATCCAGATAGCCTATTTCTGGTCAGTATAATACAATAATCTGTCAACACTCTTCGTTTATGGCCACAAGAGAAAACTGCAGAAATAAACATTTATTATCTGATACTGCAGCTTGTCTTTAAACACTTACATTTAGGAGCCCATTCCAGTAGACCTCTTTTCCCCAGACATTGTTTTCTTGTTTCTATAAGAGAAAAAAAATTCCACAAAGATCCCAAAAAGGGCAAAAAAGGTTGAAGTCAGCTATTTTAGAAATAGCATTAAAGATACAAGTTGACTCAGCAGTGTCAGAAATAACCATTAAAGCTCGTATTACCACTCAACAGTGGTTCAAGTAAGCTTGCTAACAATGCCATGAAGCTTAACAAACTTTAAGTAGTAACTTGAAAACTTCAGAAAAAACAGCCATATAAACGGTACCCCTTAGTACAGCAGTACTGTTACAGATACTTAGTAGTGTGGCAATGAGGCATAAAACTTTGAGCCCCCTTGAGAAAGCACCTCTACAGACATCATCATGGTAAGGTTTTGATAAATTTTGAAGGGCAACTTGACTTCACTGAAACCTGACAGCTGCCCCCTGCAGGGTACACAACAGCATCCACAGCTCTGCCTTCAGCCAAATGTTATTACTGCACAACTTAGAGAATACCCAAGACATCATAGGCATTTTTTAGACCGCAACATCCCTGCTCCACAGAGCTCAAAGCCTTAGCTAACATACAAACAGAGCAGGGAAAGCATGAGACTCAATCCAAAACGGGCACTGAATAGCTTGGATTAAATCTGTTGATGGATGGGTGGGAGATGACAACAGGAGGGGAAGTCAGCTGTTCAATTCTACAAACTGCGTGAAGAGTAGAAAAAAATCCAACTGCCATTAACCCTAATGTAATTTAAGCCAACATCAATCACTTCATGAGGACTGGGGAGAAAGCATCCATCACTGTATCAGAAAATCATGTTATTATCCATTTGCTGTCATATCTTAACAGAGAAAAAGCAACACGGGGCTTTTTAAGTTGGTAGTTTTTATTTACAGTTTTGCTGGCAAAAGGTGGTGGGAAAATTTGGAAGTTTTTCAACAGAGGGCACCATATTGTACTGTTGATGTATCAGTTCACTGTCTGTATCCTCAGTATCCAGCTGATCAAATAAAGCTTATCAACATGTCAAGAAGCGTGATCTGCATCAGCTCCTCTAGAGTGCTCTGCCTAAAAGCAAGTCAGGCAGTTTCTAAATCAACACAATCACTATTGCAAATGCAGTTCTGGTCAGGAACGTTCACTTTAATTTCGTACTGCAGCTGGTATCAACTTCTCACTTACACCCACATACTGGCAAAGCAGTTACACTTCCTACTTTGAGGTGAAATTTATGATCTCATTCTCTGCAAATTCAGCTGTCAGGTAATTATGAACTACTCTGAGTTTCTTACTGTGATCATAGCAAGTTTGGAGATGAGACAGAAGTAAAATATTCCTGGTATATGACGTGCCCATCAGAATCAGCCGGGTAACCATAAACATCCTGTTTAAGAATTCTATTCAAGAAGGAGGAAAAGTGTAGTCAGTTTGCACTTTATCACATGGACTTTAATTCCAATGAGCTTTTTAATTCATTCTTCTAAATCAAGAGTGTTTAGTTCTTCTTCTAGTTCATCCAAGTCCTCGCCAGTAAAAAGATTTTCATCAACGGGCACTGCATCAATGACTCCATTTTCTAACTCCTCATCGCCATCACGACCTTCTTCTAAATCATTTTGTTCACTGCTGTTTATCTCACCTCCAGAAGCTTCACTTAGTTTATTATCTGAAAATACAGTTTTTAACACATTTTAGTGTCACACGTGTCTTAATCTCTAGCTCACAATCATACCAGACAAGCTCTGAAGTTTTTCAACCAGTCACTTAATATTGTCAATTTTTGTATCTGAGCTTATATAGACTAAACGGCACATGCCCAATTAACATACAAGGTTGGATCATTAGTTACTAGAACAGGCTGAAAACAATAACTCACATATCTAACCCCTCAACTCCTATTTTTATAACAGGATCAGGCTTCATGTTTTGCTCCTATTCAACATCTGCACTTCAAAGACTCGGGTTAACTTGGAAGACTGGGGTTTGCATTTGACAATTGCAGCAAAATGAAGTGTTAGCTTGTAGAAATTAGAAGTTAATCTATGCAAGCTGGAAAAATATTATATACTACTTTTTATTTAGAAGTTGAACTCAAGAAAAATAAGAAGTGCACACAGATCTACTAGAATCATTGCCTCCAGTAAGTACAATGATCATGATAATCATTTTGCTTCTGCTCTTTAAAACAAACAAACAAACAAATAATGCTTTTTGGCATATCAAGAACACATTTCTGCTTGCTTTTTTGGAAGCAAGCTTTCAAAAAAAAAAAAAAAAAGAACTTATCAATTCATTCCCTTAAAAGGGATGCCTACATAATAAACTTACCATCTTTTTCTATTGAAGCGTATGTGCTGAATCGCTCAGGACTAGCCACTGTAATGCCAGTTTCATCTACAGCCTTTGGGACATACAGACTCAGGTCTATATCATTTACACACACAGGGTCTTCCACCTGAAAAGTACACCAGTATTTTCCATATGAATCACTCTTCTACACAGATTATCATTTCTGCAGAACTTCTACAGACCTTTTCCATCCTCCTTTTGACATCGTAATTGGGAAAACATTCCGTATTAGCACTGAATTAAGTACTTGAAATTTTAATTGTACCTTAAGAGCTCTCAAATTAGGAGCAAGCCTTGCAAAAAAGCAACGTTTTCAATTTCCAATGCAACTCAAAATATTATTTTGGTTAGCTTTTTTCCCCCCCCTTTTTTTTTTTTCTTACCTCATCATCTTCTCCTGTTCCTTGAGTGTAGCGAGTGTCATCTGCTTCTTCATCATCAGCATCAACCAGCTCTGGTCGGAACTCAAATACTTCACGTCCACTGATCTGTTAGCAGAAAAGGCAATTAATTTATAATTTCACAGAATTTATAAGGTTGTTAAATAAAGAAAAAAAAAAGCAACAATTCTAGTTTTCCTAAAAAAGTAGTCAGCTTCTATTTACTCTTTACATTAAGAATGAAAGCACAGAACGTACCACCAACGCCTTGCCGGCTTTAAAATCTGCTTTCCTCCTTTCCATATCTTGCTCTGCCTTATCAATTTTTTCTTGTCTTTTTCTTCTCTTCCATGCAATAAAACACTCTAATGTGATTTTGGTAACGTTTGGTCCTAAGGCAGCACGCTGTCAAGTAGAAAGACTGATTAATGCTAGACATTGTTTCCAAAAGCAAACCCTAGGGATAACAAATTAAGGATACGTAATTACTTTTTTCTAGAAACTAATTGAAAACATTTATTTCTAATTGCTTCTGCACTCTCACCACTGTTAAACATGCTTCATCAACTTAAAGTGAGATTCCACATCAGTTTTCCAGTTGAGACAAATCAACACTTAAGTGAACATGGAAAATGGAGGAAGAAGCCTGTGGTATTAGTTTAAGTTACTTTCCATCTGGCACTGCCAGGGAATGGTGGCAGCAGAGCTGCAGTATAACATCTTTGGGAGGGCCCTTTCTTCATGCTGATTCCTTTTAACAGAACCATACAGTAATGAATGGCAGAATTAAGCAAGAACTAAGGCAATGGTGAATTTGAGCTGAGGAAGAAACAGTTGTAAGAGTTAAAAGGACAAACAGCAGTAAGAAACAGAAGCCTCCTAAAACAGGATTATCCATCTTACCCTAACAGTAAGTATCCAGCTATACTTTTAGAAACTCACTCAGCTGATTGAGAGGAAGAAAACTAGCTAAACAAAAAACATGAATTACTATGCATTCCTCAGTCCAGCTTATATAGATATACAACCATTCAATGCTTTTCAATAATTCACTAAGATGTTACTGACAGTTTTCCTCCTCTTTTCAGTATAATGAAAACAAACACCACCAAGAGGTACCTAATTGAAACTTTACCTCTTTTTCTATTAGATCTTCTAAGGAAATTTCATCTTGCTTTTCTTCCTTCTTTTTGTCTTTCTTTAGTACAAAACCTGGAGGAAGAGCATGGCGATACATGCAATTGTCTCCGCCGCCTGGACAGACCCAAAACCATCCGTATTTGTTGTTTTCAATAGCATCAAGAAAATATTTGCAGACCTGCATAAAACAACAGTTGTCAGTACTGTATTCTCATCCCCAGCAATTTACACTAGCACAGCTACTACATGCCCAAAGTACAGTAATTCAAAGCCAGCTGTGGTCAAAAGTGAATAAACGTGCCATGCACTCCATTACAAACAGTAGATATAAAAAGAGCAACTAACTATCTAAAACCTCAAATACTCAACAGCTTTCGCCCTTAATATAATCTCAACTTAGGCTGACTTGAAAGACTAGTGACTGCACTACAGTAAACCCAGCAGCACATGTAAAAGAATGTTAAGGGTTTATGTTTGGTCATGAAAATCGAGTGTACTTTTAATCAAAATAAACAATTTCAGATGTTTCATGTTCCAACTCATGATCCTGACATAAATATATCATTCTGAAACTTCTGACAAGCAATTTGTAACACTTAGTCATACCTAAGTTTAATTCTGGCAAGTATCAATAGCCTATTTGGGACTGTAAACAAGGCATAGTCGTCCTGAAGAATCAAAAAAAATAAATAGCACAAAGGATTAAGATACAGCATTCAGTGTACAAACTAATTTCTTAGCAGCCAGGTGTCACAAAGCCAAAACGACTCAATCAGCCTGTCCCTGCTGCTAAATAACAAAAACTACAGTTCAATGAAAAAAGAGAAGACATACTATTTGAGTTTTGGGTTTTTTCTTTTCTGCTTCACCGTGCTTCTTGTTCACCACCTCTTCTAGTTTCTTTTCATCCCAGTTATCCATCGTGTCTAGAAGACAACAGAAGTTTGCACAAACATCCCAAATCCTAAACAATATTCTTTTTCCCCTAATTAACAGTAGTAACATGCAGTTCTTATGTTTTAGTTTAACCTATGGAAAAAAAACCAACCCAATTCAGACTTCTGTAATAAAACACAATCTTAGAACTGCAGGGGTTGGAAGAAACCTCTAGAGATCCTCGAGCCCAATACCTCTGCAAAGCAGTCCCCCACAGCAGGCTGCACACATAGGCGTCCAGGCAGGTCTTGAATGTCTCCAGAGAAGGAGACCCCACAACCTCCCTGGGCAGCCTGTTCCAGTGCTCTGTTACCCTCACCATGAGAAAGTTCCCTTATGCATTGGTGCAGAACTTCCTATGCTTACGTTTACAGCTGTTTCCCCTTGTCCTGTCCCCACAGACTTCTGAAAAGACGTAGAAGTGTCTTTTTGACTCCCACACTTAAGGTATTTCTAAACGTGAAAAAGATTCCCTCTCAGTCTTCTATTCTCAAGGCTGAACAGATACAGGTTGCTCAGCCTTCCCTCATCAGAAAGGTGTTCCAGGCCCTTTATCATCTTCATGGCCCTTCGCTGGACTCTTTCCAGGAGATCCCTGGCTTTCCTCTACCAGGGAGCCCAGAACTGGATACAGTACTCCAGTTGTGGTTTGATCAGGGCACAGTGAGGGGGATGATCATCTTCCCTGACCTACTGGCCACGCACCTTTTAAAGAACCTCAGGATCCCATTGGCCTTCTTGGCCAACAAGGCGCCCTGCTGGCTCACGGTCAACCTGTCATCCACCAGGACCCTCAGATCCTCCAGCAGGTCATACCCCAACCTGTACTGATACTTGCAGTTATTCCTTCACAGGTGCAAAACACTACACTTGCTTTCGGTAAACCTCAGTGTTCTTCCTTCGCTATACAGCTCACAAGACATCCTCCTCAAAAACTTGAGAAGCTTTTATCTGTACATATGTGAAATGTATTTTCAGGTAAAGACTAAGAAATGTGACTCTACTTATACACCTTAAACTTCTTCATAATGTAGAAATGATGAGGAAGAACAAATACTGTATGACCTGCTATTCGTATGACACAAAACTTCACACATAGCAGAACTCAGAAACCCCCATCCAAGATCACTTAGTGATACTTTTTCAAATAAGGACTACAGAATACTTGTGAGCCAGCTTTTAAGAGCAGCAATCAAGCTTCATTTACATTTTGAACACAGCAATATGGGTTGCTATCACTGTGACCAGGGTCTTGGGAATCATACAAAAGCAACTTGCTTAACTAAAAGCAACTTAAAAATGCAACTGCAGAATCAGAAGATGATTTACAGAATGTTTTCTAGAAGCAGTGTACCTTTTTCGAGGTCTTCATCTCTTGCATCAATGTAAACACTTCGTTTTTCACACTTCCTTTCCAAGGACAAATCATGAGAAAACTTGCACTTGTCCCCTTTAGTGCACTGCCCTTGCTTGAAGAAAGCACAAACTACAGATTTGGGATCAGCACCTGAGTGAAGAAAGTTTTTCTATTTTAATAACATCTGTAAGCAAAATACTAGAACAGAACAGAAGTTGTATCTTAAAAGTTTAAAGAACATTGTCTAAGATCTTACCATATTTAGGACCTGCACAGAATGAAAAGGTGTTTTAAAAAAATAAGTTATTTAATGAAAAGTTCACCCCAACAGCCCTTTCTTCACTTCAAGTAGATACATTGTGTTCTGAAAGCATCTTATTTAGTTTGTATAGCAGGATATTTATAATGACTATCAATGAAGATCTGACTACAGGAAGTATGGGTAGCAGTGTGCCTGAGAAGAATGTGCTCATGTAACGCATAACAAATCATTCCACACAAGTTCTTCCCTATATAGTAGGCCATTTTTGGTTCTGATATGTGGTAAAACATCTTTTGAATGTCAACCTTTCTTTAACATAATCAGAAATATGCTAGAAGAAGTTTTATTAACCTAACCTGTACTCATTCAATAATACTGAGACTGCTGTTTCTAGCCTTAAAAATAAGCCAGTGCTGCTGAAATGGGAAGTACCCAATCACTAACTATGGTTTTCAAGTAAATACCACAGCAACAGATTGTTTGATCATCAGGAGGCAAAAGAAGAAATGAAGAAGGGTTTAAATTTATCTACTAGATGTAACAGATGAAGTACTACTGATTTCATTATGTTCTCAAGTACTAACGTATGATTTTAAGCTTCAGTTTCTCACTCGCTCATTTCAAGCTTGGTTCCAGTCACCAGGGACTAGATTATGCTCAGCAGCAGCTGTTTAAGACCTTAAATAAAGAACTAGTTTATCAGCAACTGAACCCCTACAAGAACATCAGGTAACATAGTTGAACTTGCTGGCAAGCTCAGCAGAAAGACAAAGTTTTAATTAGGATTATGTTGGTGTTTTGCAATACCTCTCATTCAATAGCTACCACTACAGATAAAAATAAAGAACCTTGCCTTTATTGCTGCTAAAAGACACAACGACAAAACACCAAGTTCACTTCAAAACCAACGAAAAAACCCCCACACTTCTTTGGTAAACAACTCTTGTGCCAGAAGCACAATACAGCACACAGTAACTAACATACAGTCCATTCCTGAAATGCTGGTATTCTTTTCTTCCCTATGGCAAACAACTGTGGAGTCTTCTAGCATTATCAAGCACTTAGCAATTCATTTGCAATTTACAATCATTGCAATACTAGCTCGCTCCATAACCCATCTCAGTTCAGACCACATTTTTGAAACCAACATCCTACTGTTAACTACGAGAAAGAGCAGAAGTCATTGACAAAGTTCTGCTCTTTTGATGTGCATTAACGTTTTCTGTGAACACAATGATTAGCTTATTACCTGTAACATCTGCATGTTCATCCTTCCATGGGGACATAGGCCACTTTAAACAAGTGTCATTACAGAAAAAAAAACCAGGCCATCCACCCAGAAATACCTCAGTGCAGCAAAGTATTTCTAAATGTTTTTCCTGAGACAGACATATGAGCAGTAGAACAAAACAAAAGTTTCAGGCATTCATACCTTTGCTAATCTTCTGTGCAGCAACCACAGGCTTGAAGAGTTCATTTAGTTCTTGTAGTTCTTTTTTCTTATCTTCTTTTTTTAATTTCTTTTCACTTTCTGTTTGGGCAGCCTGCAACGATGCCAAATTTGCTATTAGTGACAGAAAATCATAATGACACTTCTCACTTACAAGAACCTTACCTTAATACATAAAATCATTCTGAATGAGTGGGGGAGAGAGGCATGAGCTGGGAGCCTACGATTTCTAAGTTCCTCCAAATCCCTGCCTTTGCAAATGCCATCTAGTGGCACTGACATTTCAGACAGAAGAGATTTGAATTAGAATTTGTCAGAGATGTGAGATGTTGTTACTCCTGTACCACCTTCACAGGCTAGGAAATGAAGTGGAACTTTCAGACTGAGGAAATGCTAGTTGTTCTTGTGTGATGCTTCAGCAGGGCAAGCACTCTCAAACGAGGTAGTTCAATATGTGCCAAAAGCTTCTCTTGAATCACCCACACCCTGCTTTGCTTTCTTGTCAGGCATACCAACAGCGCTCCCGAGTTATCTGTGTGTAGAAGCAGGGAAATGTTTTTGGAACACTACTTGCTTGAATTGGTATCAACACAGCAATGTTTCAATGCCAACTAGTAGGTTATACAACGAGAACATTTTTCTTAGTTTTCATAGGCACAAGGGGGGAAGACTAAGGGACAGGCTCACCTAGGAAAAGTTGGTATAAAAGACAAAAATGGCACCCCTGCCTCAGCCTTTTTTGGAGAAGCCAGGAAAGGCCTATATCTAGCACGAGACTGGTAGAGAAGGGTAGAGATAGATGAAAAAGGTCATGAGAGAAACACAACATGCTTAGATGACTTGATTTTTATCCTTAAGAGAAGCTAGTGGGACTTTTAACAAATATTTCAGACACGTTATTGGCAATACTCAGTCAAACTTCACAGAAGAGCTTAGTTGCTAAGCTGTTTTACACTGGAATTGATTACAGAACACCCTGCTTTTATACAGCAATTCCCAAACTCTATTTTACCAAGTATGCAGACCCTAACATGGCAACTACAAAAAAAAAAAAAAACCTGACCTGATTTTTAACAACAACAGATGTACTTTAGGCTTCTGTTTCACTTAAAGATTCCAAAAACATAAAAACAGTTTGATTTGCTTTTGTTTTTTTCAGTGTTGATAGCATTTCCATTTTTCCTAAGGACACAGCAGTACTTGCTTTAAGGTATTGTTAAGTTCTCCAGGACAATCCTAAATGAAAACTGTTTTTACAAGGTAAGATAGGTGCCATCAGGTGTGGAATGAGGTTCCGAACACCATCAGTTGAGTGTTTGAAAAAAGTATTTTTTTATCATGTAGTAGTATTGCTGTCCATGCTACAGATTCAGGGACTTCACACACCTTTCAGAAGGACTGCCTGAGTCGCATCAATGTTTCTGAGTGATACCAAATAGACCCCATTACTACAAGAAGTCAGTAATCTCAGGACATGCACATCAACTTGACTTTTGAAGTCATACTCGACATTTGTTAGCTCATCCTCGTATCACGT